TCTGGAATTGTGCCCGGTATATGGCAATAGGCTCACACCCAATAGGGTGTTCACTTTTTATGCTATGAGTCCCATGTAATATACATGGGACTCATAGCATAAATAGTGAGTGGGTGTTACGTTATACAGTGACATAATGTGCACCTCTGCCTACCCCTTAATCCAGGATAACAAAGGTGTGATGTTATGTTATGTTATGTAAAACAGTACAACATTTAGTTATTAAACCAAGGCGATATAAAGTATCTTATATCTCATCTCTTATAATCCTTAGATACTAGTTATTTCAGCACCTAATGTTGATACAACTAACTATAATCGACATACATATTAAAAAAGGCCCGCACCTTTATTAAACTGTCAAACACCAAGCGGTCACCGGTGACCGCAACCTATTGTTCTATAATTGTGTCTACAAAACCGGTACTCGACGAGTTAAAGAAATATCCATTGTGTTGCAACAGTGGTTAAAAACATCAAGCCACTTTAGTTCACGTAAACATTGGCCAATTAACTGTAATTTCAGTTCCCTGAAAATTACGAGGCCGGTCTCTAGGGAAATTTTTCATTGAAATAGGAGCAGGCAAAAAGTCGGTACCACATTAATCAGAGAAGCGGAAAAATGAATTGTTCGTTCGTACCTTTCATATTATGTAATTTCAGACGGAATTGTGACATAAAAATGAATTGTGACATAATAATGCCATTTATGGAGATGCAGTACAGTTTAGTTTGTACATGTTCAATTCATTTAGCAATTATACAAGAAACGTCAGTAGTAGGTACTTTTTATAAGACATTTTTTGTAGAAATCAAATTAAATCAAAGAACAGTTTGTGTTTCCCTATAATAACTATTCCCAACAAACAATGTAATAATTATTTCTTTACACTTTAATTATTGGTTTAATTACATCTGAATGCGAAGAACATTGAATATACAATGTGTGACGCTTCTATTAGATTATGATATATTGTATGTAATTGTAATGTAATTTTACATAACATTTTTCAAATAACATCACGCCTTTTATCCCCGAACGGCAGCAGTACACAGAGGTGCACATTATGCCACTGCATAATGTAACACCCACTTTTCACTATTTATGTTATAAGTCCCATGTAATAGGGGGTGAGCCTATTGTCCTATATCGGGCACAATTCTAGACTCCGTGCTACTACTAAGAATTTTAAAACAACCCAGTAATACTTTGCCCGACCCGGAAATCGAACCCGAAACCCCCTCGCCCGTCAATCGCACTTGCGACCTTTTGAATTTTAAAGTAATACAATTTTATTTTACAAGTTACCGTTTTCGTAGAAAACACACGAGATCTTCTATTTCCCTGTGCTGATACAAACTGAACTTGCACGGAAAAGAGCCAGCTGATACATTTAAGTTTCCTTTATACGATAGAAAATTCGCAACACAGCAATATTTCGTAACAGCTGTGGCTTTTACACCTACCACGCTTAGATTTCTGTGAAGTTTGTCTCTAGTGCCCTTATAGACAATTGTTTATGACTTTAGAGAGCCAAATGAAGGGGTAAACTGCTCCGTGTAAGTTTAGGGCAAATATCAAAGTTTAAAATTTTCCTTTTCAATTGAAATGTGTGCAGAAAGTGAATGGTGTCGCAGCATACAACCTCACAATGTTAGGGGAAGTAGTTTTATGACCCTGGCACCCCAGCGCGCCGTAAGTCCGGGTTGATTCCTTGATCACATAGTATATGTAGCAATTTCAGAGACTTTCATGTATCTTCCTGTCCTGTACTATAATGCAGGTCTAAAGTTGTTTGTTTAAGTACGTGTTTCAAGTTATTAAAGAGACGGATAATTAAACTGTCAAACACCAAGCGGTCACCGGTGACCGCAACCTATTTTTCTATAATTGTGTCTATAATGACGGTACTCGACGAGTTAAATTAAATTAATTGGTTGATTAGTTTACCGGTCCGATAAGTGAAATAAGTATATTTCTCACAATCACAAACTTTATTTTAATAAAATGTTATGAAACCTGCTGCCACTAAAATAAAGAAGACTATCCTTTGAATATCCAAATCGGTTATCCGTTAAAGTTACTGAATTTTATTTCTTTAAAATTGCAACCAAAGACGCTAATCCATACTTCTAAATTTCTTACGTTTACTGTAAAGCTAAGAATGCACGAGCGTCTTGAGACGTCTCCCCCAAGTCGGTTGCAATTTTACGAGTGGTCGCCCCAAGCCGGTGCCTTGGAGCCCCTACGTTGCACGCAGACTTCGATGGAAAGTAATGGAAACAAACAACAATATTTTGTAGATGGAATATCGCTGGAGGCTCGCCGTCGTACGGGGAAGAATTTGGACTGAAGTTTTTAATCTCTTACGAAGTATACGAAGTAAGCACTTGAGTCTGAGCAATAGATATAAAACGGAGTTTAATGTCGTGTTTCGGCAATCGATCTAGTGTATTTTATTTATCCTTGTATTTAATGCGTTGAAAGTGTTGGTTATAGTACATAATAATAACTTGATTAGGCCCATAATACTTCACTTTTCTATGCAGCAATCATGTAACAGGAAGAAAAAGCAGCTTCAACCAATCTAATTAAAAGTATGGAACATTAAACACCGATGTATCGACGCACGCAATTCCCAATTTATCGATGTGTAAGATCGGTTATCGGCGCCGCATCTTGACGATGATTTATTACCGGCAACTTAATAACTATAAAAATGAAACTATAGTCCCAATTATGAGTCATTTATAAAGAACTCATGCATATAAATCAATGTAATCACGGTGCAGCGGTAATAACAGGGCGCGACACCGACTTGCCTATGCGTCGCTCATACTGAATATGTCACTCATGTCGGCTTAACTGTTGGATATTGAAATACTGGACTAGGTAAGCAGGTATGCCGCCTACGATACAATGCTACTTACATATTATTTTGCTAACGTAATTATCAGAATCTTGATCGCATGTCAGCAGGATGGCCGCTAAGAACAAGACTGCTAAGAGCCAATAGCGATAATAAAACATTCTCAGTAGAATCGAAATGCCTAAAATTTGTAATAACTTGCTGCAGTGTAATTGTTGCTACCTAAGAATTCTTTGAATGATATTACATAGTATCTGTATGTAAAAATGCTTTCGACAGCATTGCTGAAATTCATTATAATTGTACAAAAATGCTCAAACCTCTCTGCTATGCTTCCGAGAAGTAAATAGCAAGCTTCTGAAGCACTACCAAATCGCACCGTTAAATTTAGTAGAACCTTTTACACTATACCCAAAACCTGCTCCACACATCCGCGCCATTTAAAAGATTTACGCGTTCAAAAGTATCCATTAGGTTCAAAAGCAAGTCGAGCGTACGTCAACGATGTTTGTGTCCTTGCTAAAGCATGAAAGCAAAATGCAGTGGGACAAAATGCACGCCGTTTATTCCCGGCCACCCAGGGAATGGACAGGACTGCGAATTTAAAATTCCATTTCCAGACACTACGAAAAGTTCAAATTGCTTTCAGTTAAATATAACTGTGTGGTACAAACCTATGTATGTAGGTTGGTGGATATTAAAAAGATGTGGTGAACCTGCTTTTAAAGTATTTTTAGGTAAAATATGTGGTTGGGTTATTTAAATAGTGTATTGTCTTGTAGAAGTAGTTAATGTTTATTTTTCTTAGAAAACTGCGATATTTTTATAAATGACTTCTTAACTCGGAACCATACTAGGACAGTCACATTAAAATAAGCACTGTAACACTTTGTGGGTAGTATTTACAGTTATCACATAACATAACATAACATCACAGCTTATATCCCCGAAGGGATAGGCAGAGGTGCACATTGTGGTACTTAAGACACTTTGTTATGATTGTGATAGTGAGCCTATTGCTATATACCGGGCACAATTCCAGACGCGTGCTACTATTTTTTTTTAATCCCAGTAATATTTTGCCCGACCCGGGAATCGAACCCGAGACCCCTTGCCCGGTAGTTACTCTGGCGACCACTCGATCGAGGCAGTCCCACCTACCATTATCATACGTAAATATTTGATCTAATCTGGAAATCGAACCCAATATCATAACATACATGGAAAATACCTAAATGTCACTTTTAGAATTAATATTTCATTTAAAAAGTTAAAACGACCACTAGTGCCATCTACAAATAAACCCGAAACTGTACTGTTGTACTAGGAGCAAGGATTAGAGCTTACCCTTCGTTTAGGTAGCGCGTAGCATTGTGCTACGAAATGACGTCACGAAAATAATTTTAAGAGGGTTGACTAGATGGCGCTAGTTTCGAACTATGCAATATAGCTACGCTTTTTTTTAAAGGGGGAAAATCATCGAATGTCTGCTCCCGCCTGGGTGAAGCGGGAGGTAGTGTCAGACTCTTACTGACTAAAAACCACCCCGTTCCTTCTCCTGCACGTCGAGCCGGAGCCCCGGTTACCCGTTAGGTTCTCCGCGACAATATAGCTACTCTATGAATCTAACATGAAATGTCAGATTTATAGAGTAGCTTATCTTTTTGATATAAATGCATGATTTTATGAAGAACTAACGGAAAAATTTATACAATGTCACTTGAATCATTTTTCATTTGCACAAAGTACAATACTTGCAGCTTTGTGTCGTAGAGTATATTATTTTTGTCTATTTTTAGACATACCTAGTGTCTATTTCATTGTTTGTTTATTTGAAATGCAGTTCAAACCTAATTGATTGAATCTCTTTGATTATGTTACTTTCTACTGCAATTTCTGTCTCCATGATGTTAAGCATCGTTGATAGGAAACCCATGAGTCAGTATTAGGTAGGGATAAATAATCCAGCAGTAGACGTCTTTCAGATGTTCATGGTGATAATGTAATAACTAAACACAAATTATAAGTCAGAAATATGCAGAAAAAATATATTTAACACGGACAATTATAAAATGTAATGCATGCGTTCAGTGGGTAAGACAGTCTCAAATAAAAAAAAAACAACAACACTACGTTTTTTAAATATTTACTAATACCAAATCAATCTTAGACACACATCAAAACATACATAATATGCACAATCTCACTTAACTAAACTGATTTATTTTCTATATTATATTGTTTTTCGAAAACAATTTTAGATTTTGTTATTCTCCGCTATATTAATACTTTAATGAAAGATAATAATAAATATGTACAAGTTCTTTTAAGGCACTCGATTAGTATCTGCCTTAACAATAAGTACAAATTAATATTTAAAAAAAAATACATGTCATTACATGTAAAAAGCCCGTCTGCTGATGGCACTAAGCATGTTTCAAGAAACAAAATTACTAATGTTATTGCTTATGAAACACAGTATTACTAGTTATTTGCAGACAATTATAATATTTGTACGTTAAACACATCTATTTCATCACATATTTTAACATTTAAATGAAACGGATTCCTCGAGTTGTTATGGCATTTTGCATTTTATGATTATATCTTTAAATGCTTTTTTGTATTAGTATGATTTGTACGAACTATGTATAGATGCATAATGAAGGATGAACAGTTTTAAAGAACTGCTTCATACCTATAAACATTATGTCTGTAATTCATATATGATCTCGAAAGGATAACAATAAAATATTTTAACCTTTGTTCTTCAAACTATGAACAAGCAACTTTAGACTTAACGGTGAGGAAATAAAAACAAAATTTACGTGTACGATTATATGAGATGATTTTATGGGAGATGTAAGCAAGACATAAAATGAATTTTGCCCTAATTATATGAATGTGGATAATTTATATTTCTAGGTGAATATTTTCAAGTGTTAACACACGATGCAAATGGATTGGCATCTCAAATTAATCGCACTTAACTATGCATGAGGGGAGACCAAAAAAATTAAGTACTTTATTTATGAAATAATCATGGACGGAGTGTTAACAACTTCGATGATATTTTTCACAGATTTACGAGGATTATCTACATACTTTTGTAGTTATTCGACATAATTTTATTTATTTTGGAAACAAAAAAATATTTATTTCATATAATTTTAGAAATTTCTTTTCCCAAAACTCGACGAAGCACCTAATTTAATGCAAAACGATAAAAATATTACCAACTAATTAGCTCTTTTACTCTAATAACTTATAATTTAATTTTAAAGAAAATATGTATCTTTACAGATAACAATCGTGATAATATAGTTTCACCTACCGCATTAATCTCAATATCAGATCTCTATATAATATTGTAAAAATATTCTCCCAACTTTATCAAGCCGAGATTACTTTAATAATATAATATTATTTAGTATTATAACATCTCTATTGCACTAATCGTGTTCCGTTATTGTTATTATATTGCTTTTACATTACATTATGTAAGCTAACACATAACAAAGCATGACAAACTGCCCTTGTTACAATAACACTCGAACGTTTGTGTAATCTTTGAGATTATTAATGGGTAATATACTTTTCACTGTATTAACATACTGCAGATCTCTGACAATTATATAAAATAGAACGAATCTAGAGATTCCCGAAGAGATTGTAACGAAGGCACTTATAAACGTTAACAATGTTCCACAACTAACGTAAATCTACTAGACACTAAAACATTTGGGTATTACTATTTATATTCTTATACAAATAATATTTTAAAACTGACGACGATAAATGTATAAAAATTAACATTTAGAAAAGTTAACAATAATTTAATCTCTTCTAACTTAGCTATTAATTAGCATTATAACAATTTCTATAGAACCAAAAAAGGTAAGAACATTGTACATTTAATTAAGGCACATGGGATGTACACATATTCAAAGTTAACTATAAATATTAAGCACTAAGAGTAAAATACAATGCTATAAATATTAATTATTCCGTATGAAAATCCATACACTCATTGACCAATATAACACCATTATATTTTTCAAGGAAGACATTGAATAATTTTGAATTTGATCAGAGCACGTAGTCAAATATTACTATAATTTATTTAGTCTTTGGTTTTAAAGTAATGTAAAATGTTTGCCAAAGGTTTGTTGGGTCCATGAGTATATGAAGAAACAACCTATATTAGACTATAATCCAATGTCAGTCCAATTATTTTTATGAAAAGCAATTTTAAAATATTTTAGCATCGTAGGTACTTACTTGACCTCTTGCGTGACGCCATCTTGTTCTCGCGCCGCGCCACAGACTATCCATGTAGCGCCAAACGATCAGTGTACGTATGTACGTATATAAATTGCGTGGGTAGTATAATAATATACTACATATTAAGGTACATACATAGAACTTTGATAGACTTTCCATCTAACATTAGGTGGATAGTTACTTAGTTGAAAAATCATGACGTTGTTTTACAAAGCTTAATTCATACTAGTTGCAAGCTAACGAAGAAATGTTTACAGTTTTTGGGAAGATCAAAAAGCAAGAAGTGTTAGCAAAAGTCATTTTCAGTGTCAAATTAACTCTAGCTACTGCATGAATTAAGCTTTCGTTAGAAGTAAAAATTTTACTCAAACCATCTTTTTTATAGGGACGGCGCTAAAGGTGCAAATTTTTAAAAATATACTCTATTTAAATAACTTTAAATAAAAAACTATAAATAACTATTCAATGAAATATATAGGTAGCACTTTTAACGCCGTGATTTATCCGGGTAACCTAACAACACTCGTGCTTCAACAACAACACGTTCAAGCGACAACAGAAGTACAATAAGATACAATATAGTAAATATAGTCGATGGCGTGTGCCATTTCATAAAAATTATATAAAATGTTAATAAAGTTCATCATGTTATAAACATAACAGGCATATAAATGTTAATAGTTAGACTATTATAATACATAGTATAATGTTAAACGTGAAAGGCCCAACAGCTAATAGCTACATGGTGGTCGATGTTCCGATGAGTATGTTACGCGGCGACATAGGGGGCCGGCGTGGAGCGGCCGGCCGCGACTCCTGTTAGTTCCTCGGCGCCGTTAGCACTCACCTAGCCGGGTTAACGAGAAGAGAGAAAAACAGAATGTTAGTATCGATCAAAATGTCATGGTCCGACTACACGAGTACCCCCAATCGCGAGCTGGCACGCTTTAACGCTTGCGTTGCGCTGCCGGAGCCGACCTGCTGACGTCACGGGTTAGGGGACTGGCAAATGTAAGACGTGGACTCAATGGACTCAACATGAGATAGACTCGACAGTCGGGACCGGCAACATGCAGCTATTCAACAAAAGCGATAAATCGTGGTCTCGGATTGACATGACTAGTGTACGGAATTTCTCATAAAAATAGAAATTTGAATAAAAATGAGGGGGAGGCTATCAGGCATTCGCGCCGCGACACTTGTTCTGTTTGTGGCCCAGTTAATACTATACGGGTACTTAATTAGTTTACGCAGTTAATGGTTGAAAAATGTTAAGTCAATTTAGTATGTAAATGATAAATCTACAAATATAGGATTAAATGCCCAATAGTTCCCAAAAGAGCAATGCTTGAGACACGGCAGGCGCATGTGACGAACATTGCTCAGACAAACAAGCATAATAAATTTATCACTTATGTATAACCATAGCACCCAGATGCAAGTATGTAAGTTATTCAACACATTGCTGCAACATCTCAATACTGTATATGGCGGCATTCTCATAAAAGTTGTTAATTAGTTTGTGATAACGAATCAATGTCATTACATATTTGCATGTTAGTGACTCATATAATATAAATACATAGTTACAGATAATCTGCAAGTTGTGACAATAGCAGTTATGATAGTGCACTTAATAATTATTATTATGTAAACAAACGGGAACTTGGCCTTGTGGAGTTGCATGTTAGTTGTGTGAGGCTACAATTGACCAAATGACTGCACGTCATCAACTTTATCGACATATATACTCTTGTAACACATAGAACATTTAACTTTAGTACCGCGGACCTAACGAGACTAAAGAAAGAAAACGCTTAATTTAAATTTCAGACAATTTATTGCGTGTATATTCTCAGAAAATGCATTTATTTACAATCAACAACGGAAACAATACTTTACAAAACATTATCGCATATTATCATTCATTTTATAAAATTACGAATAGCATTTCGACTTAAATCATTTCATATAAAGAAGCGTGAAAATACGTAACCGGCATAATGGATGCCGGTTTTAAATCCACAAGGACACAAGTGCAAATTATCTTAATAATAAACCACTTTCAAATAAGAAAGTAAATATAATAATACCTAAGGCAAAAATAAAAACAACTAGCTTAAAAAATTTCATATAAAAATCTTATATTGACTAATAGAAAGTTGTGATGATTATGAAAAACATATCAAGTCAAAGGAGGGGCATTACGTTTAATACTGGATTGATGGCACAAATTCTGAGAATGCTCTTTCCTTTGACTAATACTGGGCGAGACTCAGGAAAGAAGGACTCACAACCGGCTTGTAGCACCTCCGTGGATTCATTTGGCAATATTGAACACTACTGTCTAAGCGAACTACTTATGTCAAATTTTGCAATAAAAGAATAATGTAACATCAATCCTTCTTCCCTCAATATATAATTTATACCTGAAAATATTACGACTGTCCGTAGACATGTTGTGATTTCAATTGTTGTAACAACAGCATTGAAAACAACTACAGACAAATAATTTGGTAACGCTGATGTTCAACTTTGAATTAATATAGAGCTCTAATAATGCCTCGCATCACAACATGTAACAGATCTAAATATCTATAAAAAGAAATATAAAAATCACAGTTTTCAAATTATGCAGTGTCACCTCAGATCCGGTTTGAAGAGCGATAAAGCGTCTTATCCTCATACAAACTATTCAAGAACGTAACTAATAAGTACACAATATAATAAATATAAATAGTGACACAGAGAGACAGTAAAGCAAAGGTACCCACGCATACTCGAGACGAATAAGGTTGCTCGGAAGAATAAAAACAATAAATTTAAATTTACATAATCTATAAGAAAATCAGAACTTACAAGTATGTATACTGAGATGCATTCAAGTGAGATTCGATAAAAACGCAAGTTCCAATCAATGATACGACATCAAAAAGACACAAGCAAACGTATTCATCTAGCTGCATGCGCGCGCACGCGCTTCTCACCTTGTGAACAAAATGGCGGCGTGAGAGCGTTTTGGCGGGAATTAAGGCGCCGGTAAGGCAGTGCGCTGGTAAGGGTGCTCCCTGACCTGCGCGAGCCGTTGCGCCCTCCTCACCACACCTAGCGGCATATACACATTTAACATCTGCGTCGTAGCTCAACATTAAAAGCTTCCAACACCGAGTCGGTGAACCCAGACCTTTGCTATTAAAGATTATAGAAATTCACTGGAAAACCAATTTGGAATACAAATACATTTAAAGCTGATATACTATATAGAACTGGGTGTGGTTTTACATCTAAATGCTGCAAAGAATTTAATCTCATCGATAAAATAGAAATAGAAAAAAATGATTTCGTTTTCTACACTTAACGATCGCAAGTACCAAAATATCACTGCCAAATACTCGTCATTGTCGTTCGGTAATACTAAGATATAATTTTATTATTAAATCTTCATTTGGCAGTAACACTAAAGTCTATTATTATGCTTAGACCTATACTCTATCATCTATTTTATTGCTTTGGAAAATATAACAAAATAAAATATTTAAACGAACGGGTCTACGAACGCCCGATCAAGGTACAGGTAATGGCTGGCATCGATAATTTCAAGTTTTCATTAAAATTGACTACAGTGTTAACTGCGATATAATAAACCTAAACAATAATATACGGGTGTATAATATTTTCATAAAGCTCACTCTTTTCTAACCTAACTAGAAATCTTTTAAAGATAATAATAATAATACTTAGCCTATGGTATGTTTATAAATATAATAATATGGCTAATAAATTAATAAGTTACGATATAATATTTGTAACAATAACAGTGTGCACTATACTGGTGCCAAAGTTATTATTACACGTTTAACGTATATAAACATTTAAAACCGCCTAGAATGTTCCACGTTTTGTTCGTATGTGAGTGTGTATCGCGTTATTAATTTTGTCAGTTTTGTTAAAATATAGTTAAATATGTAAAATGTGTTCCTTTCGTAAATCAATTTGTATTTGGTCCCTTTTGCTTGTAATCGCTGAATTAACTATTCAACTCATTGCGTCATTCAGATATAGGTACTATTGTTAATACGAAAAATTCAATTTGTTATTCACAAGTATTTAACTGGAAATATAGACAAAGGATGGAAAAAAACCACATGCATATATGGTGGAATTTTAAAATATATGATAATACTTTAAAGTAAGACATATCTTAGTCCAAAATTCAATGGAGTTTGATTCTACATTAACATAATGTTAATAAATTAGTTGTGTTACAAGCAAGGGTTATCACAAGAACTAAGTGATGGGATCTATTCGTATCTATCATCATTCGAGTGAAGTGTAACGAAACCAGTAAATAAATATATAAAAACTCTACGTCTTTGTATAAAACATCGGTAACTTATATAGAGTTCTATTGGCAGTTTATATTCAACTAAAGTATATCTAATTTAAAAACAATAATTAACTGCCATCAACCCTAACACGAAACAACTGCTATAAAAGAAAATATATTCTCAATAAATACTTTGATAATAATCATCATTATATTAATTTGAATAAATAGTAAATTATTTCTGTTATATAATAAATAATATATCTTTGACTGTCAAGTAAAAACAAAAGATATAATTTGTATGAAACTGTACAAAACAGCTGTAGAAGAAAAAAAAACAATGTTCGTAAATATTAAAGACGATAACATCGTAGGTACAAAATAATGAGTCGTTAAGCTAAACGTACTTAAAACAATAATTCTTAAACTATAAATTGATCATGGCGTTTTATTATGACTGTAAAGAGGACGTCCTGTGAGGCGTTTAGAAGGAGGATTATGATATCAAGGACGGCAATAATGATGCGTAGTGCGATACGGCGCTTGCAGTCTGCCATATCTTATTGTGGGCTGTTGCGGCCAATGTCAAAAGCCAGCTAGCAGATATCTCGACGCTGCAAACCCCATTAAAATATTTATATCACACACAGTTCAACAAAAGCTCGACACCATACGTTAGAATAGTGTACATTAGTTTGTTAGTGCTGTGTAATCACGAGCCTGATTGGTTTTTTGTTATATTAATTTAAATAAATAGCTGTTTTAGTGATCTAGCAGCGTCTGTAACCGTTAACCGATTTTTGTGTATCATTTACTTTGTTTCGGGGCTATAAAGTCTAATATCGCGCAGCAGGATAATCCCTCCATATAACGCTCCAGATGCAATCGGTCAAATCACGTGCTATGGACAAGAAACAATGGAGTTAAAATTCTGGTCGAGCTTTTTGGTTGGTTACTATTAGTACTGCAAGGTTGCTCATTACCTATGACGCTTAAAACCGGCTATAATATACTATGTTAAAGTTGCCGTCTGTATACACTCCTAATTCAAAAGTCCCTCGTGAAATACATGATGTCGCTACTAACACATGAATTGACCAACTAGGAAGCATTACATGGAGATTATCCGCTCCTATTAAACCAAGTCGCTGGGAACAAGCTTGTATCAGCTCAAAAGAAAAGAGGCATGCGACATCGGATAGAGTATGAGAATACTCAAAAAGATATTTGGGACATTGGGACTTGAGAAGGTTTCTTACCGGCAAAGACCGTTTTTGGCTCTCTACGTTTCTAATATCTATTTAGACTTGCTAATTATTCTTGTACGTCCATTTTTCTTACCGACCACGTATTAACATGCAGTTATTTTGTTCGATACTTACATGATCAGTAGTGGAACTGTATAATTATTTTGTGTTTAATACTAATTTTATCTAACGTTCATTTTCCGTCTGCTACAAGTAGATACTAATCGACGATTTAAAACCCGGTACCGTGTGTATGTAGCGTTAGTATGTAATAAACGATGTTTGATAACGAAAATTATTTTATTTTTAAGTCCAGCTTTCGAATTTTTTAGTTTGAGATCAAACCTATGTCCAGCAACAGGTACAATAAAGGGGTTATTTTTTATTTAGTAAATTTATTAATTACGTAGTCTCAGTCGACATGGTGAATTTCCTTTTAGCTACATCAGACTTTAAAATTACTAGCAGCATAGCAACCGTCCTCAAAATGTTCTAACTGCCCTATGACGCATAACCCGTGGTTATCAAACATCGTTCGTAAAGATCAACGGGCGAACAACCCACCCGTATGGTCAGCGGCGGCGTACTCGGTGGTGAGCAGCGGGTTGGCGGCGGCGGTCAGCGCGGCGTAGTTGGCGTAGTCGTAAGGAGAGGCGTAGATGAGCTGGTGCGCGGGCTCTCCGGGAGAGAGCAAACCAGCGGCGGCCTGTGCGCCTGAACCGTTGAGCAGGCCGGCCTGCGCGCCTTGCGACATGCGCGGCGACAGGATGAGTGGCGCGCCAAGCGGGGCCTGTGTCCTGAGCGCTACGCCTCCCACACCTCCCACGGCGCCGCCTGGTGCCAGCAGACGCTGTGTCTCCGCTGCGGCCGCTGCCACACGCCGCCACTCCTCGTCCGCTGTGGGATCGTCTGCGTTGTATCAATGGTACTTATATCAGCCACACGTCGCCTTCTCGCCTCGACCTCATATAACCCATTAGCACAGTTTCCAATTGAATGCGACTTTCAATTTTGTTAGTAATAATCGACGTGCACATTTACTTTTCAGGCAATTTTTCCCAAATCCCATAAAACAAAGCTCACAAAAAATTGAGACACCAGAGGAGTTGAAATGATCGTGCACGATACTATTCTGACAGTGAAGTGAAACAAATAGCATGTGTAACCAAAATTCATAAGGAATCATTCGTTTGCCAATAACAAATACCACTTAGGCTTTAACGGTTTTCAATCGTCCTTAATTAACGATAAGAGATCTTGGTGCTGTGAAATCACCCATGTTAATAGTTAACAACCGTAACATGCCACAAATCAATTAAGTTAGTCATCTTAGCAGTCGCCTCGATGACTCACATCCGCAAACAAAAGACACAGTTTATGCTCACTTCAACAATAGGAAATGTAATGAAAACAGAGCAGAATATGTACAGTTGTCAGAAAACAATTCAATGAAAAAAAATAATCCCACGATTATTATATAATTTTTCATGCAAAATGATGTGTCCCACAACATTGTGTTTAATCCAGGAAACAATCACAATTACTTTACAATGTCATTATTATCCTGCATCTTTCAAAGATGGAGTCTCTTCTGAAGTATGAATTTGAAATGGCACAGTATAAGAACCCTTAAATGCGTTTTAAACGCAAGCACCCATGATAATCTGACTCAGACCTTTGAAGCTAATGGCTATCTCTTCCACACAGCAGTTCACGTTTGTACATTGCAAAATGTCTATCTTCATCCATAAAGACCCAGTGGAGAACATAGGACTCAAGAACAATTTTGCATACTGACTGCGTGGATTAAGATAGATTATCGCTATGGAAAAGTAAGAAATAGAAAAAATGGAGTGAATATGAAATGATTGAAAATTTTACTATATACAATATTAGTGAAACAATTCTATTTCTTATTTCTCCATAGGAGTGTTAGTAAGTCTTAGTGGGTAGTTTTAGTGACAAAACATGAATGCGACCATACTTATGAGGCACTGACCGTTGACGGGTACCACCGCCTTGGTGCTGGAGTCGCGGTATGTGCCGTTTATGATCGCCAACTCCATCAACTGACGCTTCTTGAGCTCATCTTCGCCATCAGCTTGCTGTAAAGGAAAGAAAAGAATTCGATGAGGTTTAGGACCTTTTCACCCAAAAATCTGATGAAAATTGTAATGTAATAAGAAACCTTTTTTATTGAACTCAAGAGGAAGCCTACCAGTCTAGTAAGAATTTTAATAGATAAGAAAAGATTAAGCATGTCATTGTTATCGCTAACAACAATTTCTTTTAGACAAAAATTACATAGACTTGTTGTGTTGAATATTTTCTAGGTACCAGAAGTTTAACCAGAAAGCCAAATTTATAATACCAAGACCAAAAATACAAAGATGAATGAAACAAAATAATATGATAACAATTTCTTACAAACCAAAAAACAATTTGGTTGGCAAATAATTGAAAGGTCAAGTTGATGAAAAATGTAATAATAATAAAATTGTTAACTAAAATAGGGTCAGTGTCGGTGATACACTATATTTGTTCAGCCGCTAATGTATATTTAGATGTACGAAATCGTATATCATTTATGACTTTGATGGTAGTTTCGCAGCCAAGAAAATAAATTGGCAGCAATATTTGAAAAATCCAGACATTCAGAGAAATGAAGGAAATGACTCAGAATACTAGTATTAGTTAGCAGACTTGTCTATCCTGTTTCAAAATATATTTTAAGTGTGTATTTGGGCTGACTGAACCACAAATAATCTTGGAATATGAGTAAATAACTCAACAGAGACTGGAAAACCCATGTGCCTATGTGCCAAGCCAGTCTTTCGAAAAACAACGAATTTGATACTTGTGACATATACATTCAACTATTTTCCTCAAAATTTTGTTTGTCAATAAAAGCTTAACGTTAAATCTGGTAGCACAATAAATAGTTCTATTTTCTCTCACTAAGACAAGTACGGGTCAACAGCAAACATGACCATTTCGTAAAAGTAGAACGCACAACCAAAACAAAATTATTAAGGTATCTAGGTAGAAGGTAACCAGTGTCCGTTAATTAGTAGTAATGAGTCCGAGCCTTGCGGTTCAACACAATTGCTGATGACGTCATCGCGCCTTAAATGCACGGCAATGAACGTAACACTGAATGAGATGTTCATACAGATAGTAAAAAACAATGAGAAATTGTTTCCAGTACAGATTTTACTGATATTTACTGGACGAGAAAATATTTTTCTATCTTTTGAGGAAGGAAGGTAATTAAGGTTCCGACATGTTGGGTTCCATATTGAAACGGTTTGAGAAATGGTTAATTTAACAAAATGTACCGTATTGGAGTAAAAAATGACATCACACAATTTTAAACCGAATTTGATTTTTAACCGACTACAAAAAAGGAGACTTGCAGTTGGTTTTTTTATACGTAGTCTATAAAAAAGTAATATATTTTTAAGGTAACAAGTCAAATAACAAATGTTTTATGTACGAGACAGGTATTACACACATAGGTTCTATCTTTAACGTTAGAACCCTAAAAACGACACCGTTGTCTATGACATTCGAGGCTACCGAACACTGGAGTGTGTGCCAAAATTTCTATTTGGCATAACTGTCTGCTGGTATGTTAGAGTTTATCTAAAACAGATAATATTCGCAGTCAGTCGAAATATTCGACGTTTGCATGTTAACCAACAGTAACTGTTAAGTTAGTCATAGTTTACTATTACGGAACAATAAAATGTTACGGGCTGCATAAAAGAAAGATCAGAGATTACTTCGGTCATACTACGAACCCAAACCAAATTCAACGACATCACGTGAACACGAAGCTATTTTAAACTTTACTTCTATTTTTGTAGCGTGATACGTTCGTAGGACTATGAATGTGGAATGTTGAGGGATTTAAAATGAAGAAAACCATTTTAAAATGAATATTGGATCATTATGCAATGTCATTACTAATAGTTGTGCAATAAAACTAGTTTTTAACCTTCATTAAGCCTTCATAAGTCACGTCGAAGTACCTAATATCCGTCACCACAATGAGCAACTAAGTACAAATGTGACCGCAACCTGGGCCACTCTGATTGATGACTACTCCACTATTAATTCTGACGAGCACAATATTTGCTACACAATCTTATGTGTCGTTTGACATCGACAAATTAGGTTCTTTTGCTTTTTCATAATTGGATATCAAGAAGTTGAGAATTGATCTTCCCGATTATACTATTAAAAAGTAATCATCGATAAACACATAATAAAACGTTTATAAACTTTATCTGATATCGTAAAATAAGAGTACATAATGAACTGTGTAGCGCAAATTCGACGCCCATACAAAATTTGCAGTAAGATTAGTTAATATGGGAAATTTTGCAGTGCAAAAGTCCAGATCTGGGAAATTAAAAAACCCAGTATCTTTTATACGTCTAAAATTAAGAACTCATGATGTCAGAACAAAATTGTGTTAAATACTTACAGGTACAAGCAGGCGTTTGACTTCATCGACAGCTCTGGCCAACTTTATCTTCGCCCTGTTCTCAGTGTCCTCAACTGTGAGTAAGACGTGGAGGTCGTCAGCCAAATGCTCCCAATTGGGTTTTCCTCTGTTTGCGTCCTCCTGAAATTCATTAAAATCACCCAGTTTAGCATCCTGCTATTGGAAATTGGAACATTTTCGACTGTTTATGATGCTCTCAATTTAGCACGGTAATTATGGCGTTGTATGAGAAATCAAATATAGCGGGAAAATGGAATGACGTACAGCTAGATCCAATGTTTATGTTATTGGGGATTTCTTGTTTTAGTCATGGCCTCATGTTTTAGCTATTACAGTTTTATATTGCTCCTGATTGGGTGTTGGACTAGATTTGTGTTTAAGTATTGAACCGAAGATTTAAAAAACCAACAAAATCAATGTACGCGTCAATATTTTTTGAACTAACAGAACAGTCAAGTACCCATTACAATATTACATTTTACTATTGATAGTTGAAGTATGGTTGTGAATATAAATAGCCACATACATTGGTATAGTCTCAAGGACGCTGCTGAACGTTAATGGCTTGAGCACTTCAAACAAGCCCATACAAATCTAAACGGAAGATCCATATACGTTTATAAATGTTTGGGTATTACTATTCGTAGAAATTGAATCGGTAAGTTATGCCACGATTGCCGAGCAAAACAACACTCAACAGATACATACGTATATTAAACCCAAATTGAGCAATAGAAGGGTTTTCAAGCGCAATGCAAATAGATGGTAAATAATAATTTTAAACGCAAATCATTGATGAGTCGTGAGTTTTCTCTTCATGGACAATGGCCGCCTAATCTTTATGTACAAGGATTGTAATCAATTATTTATATTTATAAAACCTGACAATATGCAAATTAGAACATATGTGACAGATAAATTGAACTTGCTTGGACAAATTGATTGGTGCAAATAATATAAAAAACGAACCAACATCTTGCAAAAACATTTAGTACATCATATTATGCATACTCACACCTAGTATAGTAGGAAAATAAACTCCGTTTGCTTTTCGTGATTAAGTACTCACTTCCCACTTGAATTTAGTAGATTACGAAGTAAATTGTATTAGGAAACTACCATATTGACCTAAACAAACCTAATTCGTAGGTATTCACTCGTTTAAAAATGACCTTGGTACTGAAAATATCATAAAAATGGTAACTATAAAAACATCGATAAATGATTATAACCTGCATCGATTTCCAGTTGTTGGCTGCGTGGAAAATATAAAGGTTAGTCATTATAATTTGTATATTTTTTATAGCATAGATTGTGAACATTAAATACTTTTAATTTATTACCTTTTTCTTATCCCTCATTGAACCTTTTCCTCTGACCATTATTTTGCATCCTGTCTCTTGTTCTAGCTGCTTAGCTGTCATACCCCTGGGCCCTAGAATCCTTCCAACGAAGTTGAACTGGAAAAAAGAAAGACAAAACATTAATAATCAAGATAATAAATGTCACATATTAGGCAACACATTATGAATTTCAAATCTTTGACTAGCAAACTCAATTTCTATTTCTAAGAACTAATTGCTTTCGTATTTTAAAAAGCTTTTATTTAGTTTTGAATTTTATTCATCAGCTGTTTGGTAATTCATTCAAAGTTTAAGATTACGAAATGTCTTAACGATGCGGCCGCCACATGCTAAGACCTAATTCAAATGTGACTTCATTTAATGCCATTAGCTGTTGGATTAATTACTCGCTTCGTTACACATAAACCATATTTCCCGAATATACATACAAGCTGTACATACGTTTAACCTCAATACGAAAGCTTCAAAGCATCGGTTAGCTCAACGTATATGAACTGTGAACCAGTATCATTCTGCCGTCCACGAGCATAGCTGAGAAATGGACCAGTTGGCACGCCGCCAACAGCCGAAGTTCACACTAGCTATTTTTTTTCTAAAAGGATATTTCAAGCAGCCAAAAGATAGTTCAAAATACACAATAAATAGGCGTAGTAAATAAAATTCGAGGTTAGAAACTCGTCACACGTCTTACGCTAAATTGTTTTGCATGACAGCGTGCAAATTGCTCGATGTTGTTATTATATTCCGCTGAAAAGTCAGGTGACGTTGACTAGCAAACTAAAATTCATTTAGCAAAGACAGTCCGACCATGTTGGACGTCGTAAATCTAGACGCTAGTGTCCTTTATTGTGACAATAGGTTCAATAAATATATTTCATTGCAGCGATATATTTCAAAGTGGAAATATGAGATGCGGAAATAGGCACCCCAAACGAGCTGGGACAGCATTCGTTAGCCGTCACGGTCCAGCGCCTGCTACGACGACAGGCGACAAATTGTAAATCACTCAAAGAACAGACGGACCGAAGTTTCGCATACCGATACATATCTTTATCGTATAAATAAATCTTTTAAAACCAGCTAACCGCACCGACCTAGACAAGTATTAAACTAATAATGTTATCTAAAGTACAAATAAAATAAATATTGTACCCTGATAGTACGCGGTGCAGCACTAAAATACTTAGAATAGAATCTTATGTAGGTAAGGCACTCCAATGATTTCAACGCGTTGCTTTTAAAATTTCATAAATAAATCAAAACGAAAACGTTTCAAACCGCACCATTCGAATGATGGAAAATATCATTTAACCACAGGTTTTGAAAGCTTATTTTCTTTGATGTACACACGTAAGCTGCGGGCAAAATTTCTTTCTATCCCGTTTATATGAGCGTGGTTTCTAAGCAACATAAAACCCTAGCCGTAATTTTGTAGTGATCATAATTTCAAAGTGGAGGGCAGGTTCGATGCTATTTAGTGGTTGGCCACAAACTGCTCGGTTGAGAACACTTCCCTTGCTTGTCAACCATTATGTTACATTTCCTATTATTGTGTCGCAAGGACCACGTAAAATATTGCATCGGGAGCGAGAACACGTGTGTTATTGTTGTGTAAATTAACTGCAACATAATATAAAGTTTATACCAGTTTCTAAAACAGATTTTCTAGTCAGGAAGATTTAAGTTCTTTTTATTCAAAATCGCGTAACCGCTTGATAGTCATATGATCATAACGCCTGTACATTTCTCGGTAGGCGGCACCTTACTGTTTCTTGGAATATGTGTATGATCTGACTGAGATTTTAGATCTCATCATAATAGTGGCAAATTCCAGAGTAGATAATTAATTCCCAGTATTAAGACGGGATTGTTCGTAAAATATTTTGGTGTCATGATATCGTTACAGTTTGGCCACGTGATAGGAAACAAAGTTCGCTCGCAAGCGTTTGGTCGCCGGTCGCCGGACGTCGGGCCACGTCGAAATAGCGACACGATACTTGGCAACGCGCCCGTGTTTACTTTATTGCATTTTTTCACTGTTAGTAATATTTTTATGAGAAAAGTAATTATTTTATTCTCTACATAACAGAAATACCTGTACGTGCCTGGATGTAGTCTCGTGTTTGTCACTAGAATGATACGACTTTCACTCGGAATTTTATACATGGTGTTACCGAATATTCAAACATTGAAAAGTGGTAACACAAAAAATATTTAAGGAAGGTAAATTGATAGTAAAATGATTTATACAAATCCGTTTAAATAATACAAGGAAATCGGATAGTACAACAGTAAACAAAAGCTATGGGAAACGTATGGCGCACCGCCGCCGGCGCATCTAATCGATAAACATTAACCAATTGCATTCCAGCCCGCGGCGCATACGCCCTTTACCTATACTTACATACAAGTCCACGATTACAAGAATTAATGCAAATACTACTTTATCTGTCTGAGTATCGGCTGCTATCGGTATTAATGCAAATAAAGTTATTTGTTTGAGAAACAATAAATCAGTGAACGCTACTTGTGTTAGCGGATTATAAGGTCTGTAAATAGCAGTTAATGATAAAGATATCGTTGTTACAATCGTATATTATGTAATTTAATTCATGTTTTTATACACAAGCCGACAGATAGGACAATTTACGTCCATAATAATTGTTGTTTTGTAAATATTTTAATGATTCGTATATTAAGACTGATGTTACAGTCACAAGGAATATAATACTGTTTTACGTGTACTTGATAACATTATTAGTTGTATTAATGAGTAGCATATATAACATACACTACACAGTAATGGAATGAGGAAGGATAAATCGGTTCGCTACTTCTATTGTAACATAACAATACAGGGAACCATCGATCAATTTTTGCAATGTATGCATACATGCCATAGAGATAAACGAGCGACGCCCATTTGATGTATAATCTAATTTTGAACCGTAACGTTATAATATGCTTCTGGGTAAAGACATCTATCCACCTTATAGGTGATAATTTTGGCACTGAAAAACCCTGTAGTATTTTTCCCCACCTAGGGTCTTTTTTTAAGGGGGGAAAATCATCGAATGACTGCTCCCGCCTGGGTGAGGCGGGAGGGAGTGTCAGACTCTTACTGACTAAAAACCACCCCGTTCCTTCTCCTGCACGTCGAGCTGGAGCCCCGGTTACCCGTTAGGTTCTCCGCGACTCATCTAGGGTCTAGGGTGTTACTTTTCAACCTTGTTCAGTCATTAGCCATTTTTTTATGGGATAATGCGCAGATGAAAACAGATCACTTGATGGTAAGCGATCAGCACCACTCATGCAACTTTTCACAACCACGCGGTTAAACGTAATGAAAAAGGCAACAAGCAATTATCTCTTTAAAATAACTTAAAGTCTGATACCGGTACATTTTGACGTAACGCATTACGCACCGTAATGCGTAATGAGAACATACAGGTTATAATGCATCGCACTGTCCCCTAACTGAAGCACAATAGTGTTTATATAGAAATGTGCAAGGTTTCCGTTCGTAATTGGCAGTGGTTTGTGCCCTAATGATAGCGTTCCGATAGTACCGCAAACCACGTGCAGTGGGAACCACAATCGCGTTGGACAAGGTCGCTTTGTTAGCGGAGATAAAGACAATATATTTAGTTGATACATTGTAAGCTATTTAAAAAGTTCCTCTTGCGTAACTTAATGATATTTGATTACAAATATATGTATTTTGATTACAATATTTTGTAAAAAAATGTACAATCCTCATTTAATGCTGGCTATACCGCATCAAACATTAGATAGTTTCTGACCATGTTCCCTCATTTTCATTTATTGCCACTATTTCTGAGTATTCACTTGTATTTCAGTAACTAAAATCCGAAGTTGAAACTTATACACAAATAAATATAACTTTACAACCTCGCCAGCCAGTAAATTTAATCTTAAAATTATTCTTGTACATGTTTCTCTAATGACAAAAAGGTAATAAATTTATTTTACCAAGTACTTAGCTGTTTGACACATTACTAGTAACAAATATGTTTATTGTATCCATAAAGGTTTGTTTTGTTTTAATTATTTGTTTCGAAATCGGTGTTAGAACCGAGGATCAGTTACCGCGCGCTTGGCAATAGCACCCTCCAAATTTTAAGTAATCTAACTAAAACCCTAAAGTCGCTTGTCAAACATTAGAATTGGGAGAGAAGACTTGCTATAATCTTCTCTAAAGAGGTCAGCTAATGGTGTTGCAGAAGAATAGGTAGCATCGTGTTTGTTCAACCACGTAGGGCAAAGTAAATATATATATACATATATATTATGTCATATTTGAAGAGGATAAACGCAAAATAATCCACAAACGGAAGATTCTAATGGATTAGTTATTACAAAATATTGATGTGATAGTACAAAAACAAATACTAGATTTTAATAGGTATATAGTAGAAGGTAGAAGGCATAATAATTCCCATAGTAGATTCACATACGTGATTTATTTGATATTCTATAATTAATTATACAATTCATTCTGCACTAACAAGGCTGTTCGGTAGTTTGCAGTGCATTGCACAATGATATATTGAACAATTAGTGTTAATGGCTATGGATATTAAGTTCCAGTTATGAACTTTAGGTATATATTTTTTTATCATAATATTATAAACATTAGTACCTACCACAGGTTCCAATTCTTGTGCTTGTAAATTAGTCTCAAAAATATTTGAAGTAATGTACTAATTAAACCCTCAATAAATTCTGTGCATAATCCATGTATGTATAATTAATTTAAACACTATAATATAAACCTGTGTCAGCTAAACCACTCAGCAGTGTTTGCGAAAATTTGTTTTTTTTATTTAGATGTAAGTTTATCCTTTGCTTTAGAATTTCCCTTTGGACCCCGATAGTATCGTTTTTTATTCCGCTTCTCGCTACAATGCAAACCGCGACTTTACCGATAACAAGTCAAATGCCGTTTCATCGTTTTAAAATATTCATTATTATCATTACAACTTTACGTGGTTTGCTGATTCTAGTCATTGTTTAGGAATACCGTTGTAAAAGCTACTGCACATCGATCGTTTTCTTTGGAATCTTGCGCGCTA